TATATAGACGATCAGACCTGGCCTGAGGGCAGGCACAGGCAGACAGACCAATCCATGACCTATTCACGATCCTGCCAATCCAGCAAAAGATTTTCTAACGCTCATTATGACCGAGGATCTCTCGAACAAGCTGGACCATTTGAACGCAATCGAATACTACTCTGACGCCACCCCTTTATTCACAAAAGGCGAGGGGGATGTGAATGAAGTGTTTTCGGAAAGGCCCCAATTTGTTAAAACACAGATTCGATCCCTTTTGCGCCTCTTAGGATCTGAACAACTTCGAATTCGCATCAACCATATTCAAATTCAAAATTTCCCCCTCTACTTTTTCCGCAAGGACGTCCACGGTCATTTTGCTCAAACGCGAAGCCTTGATCTCCATTTTAACAGTTCGGGGTTCTGTTTGGGTTCTCTTCCAACGCAAGCGATTGGTGATACCAAAAAGCTGGAGGTTCTCCGACTCGACTTCACGCACGGCTCGTCGTTACTGTCAGGGCGTAACCCCGTTTATGAAGTTCTTCGGGTTCCCCAGCCGCCTCAGTGGCCCGCGTTACGAAGGCTCCACCTGACAGACGTCCAAATTCAGGGATTGGCCTCTGTCCTCACTCCATATAAGTCACTCAAATATCTCTACATTGGCAACGTCTTTTGCGACAGGACTACTTGGGCAGATGAGCTCGTCGGCCTCCAAAGTCTTGCCCTGCGCGACTTCGTCGTGACGGGTGCTGTACACGAGCGGGATCATCAGGGTTCAAAAAGGACGAAGGCATTTCCCCCACCTAATGCGCGGATGGCGCAGCAACTCCGAGATCTGGTATGCGATGGCAACTCCGGCCAATCATTAGAGTGGTTGTACGAACATGTGGAGGTCTTGCAGAAAAGGAGGAATGGCGCGAGCCACTCCTGAGCTCCCTGGCGGCGTCCATATCGCAGCGTGGTTGGCCGGAGTAGTCATTGTTTGACGAGGCAACGCTAGGTTGGACTGTCTACGCGCTGAGGACATGATTTCGAAGAGATGTGGTGTAGTTGAGGGACAGGTTCTGTCAATAAGTTCTGTAGAAAAGCCAAGGTCTAAGAGATGCATTGTTGACAATCCTCCTGTTGATCACTAGCGATCGCCGTTACAGGAACGCTGATCAGACCGGCGCCAGGACGATGCCCCTGGAGATCTCTGTGTGACAAGACTCAGGAGAGGTCTTCCGTGGCTGTAGCAACTTGCTTATAAATGAACAGGCACGGCCTGAGACTCGGCACAGAGAGACAGGCCAATTCATGATCTTGCTCAAGCGCTGTTTGCACCAGAACAACCTATCAGAATTCTACCCTAATAGTGTACTCCGCCATAGCGGAGGGAGAAGAACTACTCCTCCTAGACCTAGGACTTTCCTCGCGGACAAACTCCATATGCTCTGTTATGGTCTCTCTACTGGTACCTGCGAGGGAACCCAAGCCAGAGCAGGTTTTTACCCGCCGCGTCCTTTATTGTTCTTCGACCACAATGACCGTCCGGTAGACGCTACTCCGCTAAGTTCGTATGCTCGCTGGATTTGGTCCAATGAGCTAGGATGGTAGATGACCCCAATCCCGCGACCGCGACAACGCCCTGTGTCGACGTCCCAAGTTGGGGGGAGGGGAAATGGGTCACGGACGGCACACACGGCACACAGGTCGCTGTTATAAGCTCCCACGCCGTCCTACACCACAACGTGTCGGAGGACCGGGAGTGCGTCCTGTTCGGTGACCAAGCCTTGGAGAATGTGGGAGCGAAAGCCAGGTTCATACATCGCATAAGCAATGTCGATTATCACCGTCAGATGCTCGAGGCTCCTAGGAAGCTTCCTAGCCAACTGCTGGCTCGGGACTTTGTCGAACAATTCTTGTCGCCGGCATGTGCGACAGCCTCGCCGACCCACCAGCAGCTCCGCGGCAATGGTTAACACTTTGAGGGAGCTGAGACTTTGCAGTGACCGCAAGATGTGACGATCGCGGGGACAGCGCCATGGCCGCCACCGAAATTGACCCTGTGTCTGGAATTCCAGGCGGAGGACAGTCAGGCTATCTCGCAACCCTGTCAAGGCTCGGTCGAGATCCTGAGTAATGCTCCCTTCACAGACGCAATGAACGTCACCCGGAGCACAGGTGTTCGGTGGTCGTCGCCAAATCAGTGTTTGGAGATATGGGAAACGTGGGAGCAGGGACTCGAAAGTCGGTCCTGCCACCACCACCGTATCGAGGATCAGAGTGGTCGCCGTCGCGGTCAGTCCGCCGCCATCGGGCACCGTGGCACTTCCTATCTGTCCTCCTATGATGTGTATCGTGCGTATGGCCTGTCGCGTCCCCAGATAAAGAATGTCCGAGGTGTCCCAGAGGGGCCGCACCGTTCCTCCGAAGTGGTCATGGGCGTTGGGGGCCATCCACGTGTGAACCCCATGCCTACCGCCAAGTCGTATCGTCCAGGACGCGGTCAAGGACAAGTGCTCTAGATGCGTTAACGAGCTCAGCGCCGCGGCCCAGTCGTCGAATAAAGGCCCGTCGCAAGCCGTATTAGCCCGTCCACTCGACGTGGCGATGGACTTGCCCGTGAAAACGAGATCGCTCATGAGATAGATCTCTCGGACGTAGGGTCGAAGCTCGGCCGACTCACAAACTTTGTGCAACCATAAATGCAGTGCGTCTTGGTCGACGATCCGAGCCTCGGCCGGGGGTATCTTCGCTATGGCGGTAGAGTCGTGACCCTCGCCTTCCCGGAAGCCGTTGTCGTCAGATAGAGCTCGATCGCCGAGCTTTTCAAAATAGATCACTTGATAGAGCTTGGGACCGAAGATGGATCTCCACTCTCGACACACGCGCACGGCATATCGCGCAGCCAGGCCCACGAGGGGAATATTGTCGAGAATTTCCCTAGGTAAATGGTTGATGTGCATATTTCTCGGGAATCAGAGTTGGGATTCAAGTTCTTTGTCCTCCCGTCTACATGCTATAGCGGCTTTCGAAACTGATCGTCCCAAGGTTGATCGAAGCAATCTCGGTGGAGATGATACTGTATGGCCCTGCACATATAAGTCCACCCGAGTGTTCATCTCCCTCTCGCCGTGAGTGGGGAGTTTGCGAAATCCAAACTCATATCGCAGATATGGTGATTGTTAGCGGCTATCGCTTACGTATTTGGTTGTTACCCCTGAACATTTTGACCGATTCATGTCGCGACGTCTATGGCTCAACTGCTACTATTCGACCGAGCGGTTAACGAAGCGTTGACCCGAGGGGGGGATGACGGATGGCGCCTCTTATGACTCGAGAGGTTTTCTGGCGGTAACAGATGGGATTGGTCGACATGGATCTCTCGAGTAGAAGGGATTCAGGAATCGAGGGAATGGAATGAATGATATTGGCTACGCACATGTCTAGAGCCCCCGGTGGAGTACACATTGTAAGGCGGCACGTGCAAACCTCCACATTGTTTCTACTGGCTCTCTGGCTCCTACCAGACGATTCAGAGGGAACGGAGATGATTTGCTGGAAGCTTTCGATTTCCATTCGCATACTAGCCAGCCTTTTTTTTTTTT